CAATGAGGTCAGAGAGCATCCTCTCTCTCTCTCTCTCCCTCAGTGTTTCTCAACCTTGGCAGCTTTAAGCGGGGTGGACTTCAACTCCCAGAATTCTCCAGCCGGGGAATTCTGGGAGTTGAAGTCCACCCCGCTTAAAGCTGCCAAGGTTGAGAAACACTGCTCTACCTCTTCTTTCCATTGTTCCTGCCAACGGAGCGTGGAGTAGTAGGGAAAGAGCCGAATCTGGACTGGAAGGTGCCGGGTTCAAGTCCTCAGCCGCAGAAGGGCCTTGGAGCAGGCCCTCCCTCTCCGCCCAGCCTACCTCGCAGGGTTGTTGTTGTTGTTGGGGAAAATAGGAGGTGGTAACACTATGCAAGCTACCTTGAGCTCTTGAAAGAAAGGCCGGATATAAATCTAATCCATCAACCAATACAGGGAAATAAAAAGGGATCCCTGCAACCTATTGCAAAACAAAAGACATTGCTTACAGCTTCCATGCACTCATCCCCGTGCCTGGCTCAGGTTCCTGGCGAATGGATTTGCAAAAATAATAATAATAATAAAATAAAGAAAAAGAAAATTCCCCTGCTGGAGAGCCCATGCTTTGAGAAAGAGGGAAAGCCCCCAAGGGTCCCCCCTCACCTTTTTCTTCCTGCCCAGGGATCTCTCTGGAGATTGGTGACTCATCGGAGGTGAGCTGCAGAGAAGAAAAGAGAGCCGAGTTGAGGGGGGGAAGAGAAGGCGGTCTTGAGAACATGCCGGTTTGGGGCTGGTGGCTTTCTTCGCCCGCAAGTCGGCGGGATTCAGATCCCCGGGTGTCCCGGAGGGGAGAGCTTTGGAGCAGAGGAGCCCTGGACGGGGGGATGTGCTGGCCTCGTAATCTGTCTTTTTAATGTCTGGTGCAATCGGGCTTTTTTTCCCTCTAGAAAAGAAGCTTATGTCTTTCCACCTTATTCTCTTCCAAGTATGTTCTCCGGGCCTTTGCAAATATATTCTCTGCACTTTTCCAAATATGTTCTCCGCGCCTTTGCAGATATGTTTCTACACTTTTCCAAATCAGTTTCTACACTTTTCCAAACATGTTTTCTGCACCTTTTCAAAACTAATCATGCAAGATTTCCCAATTTGAAGACTAGTCTAGGAAAGGAATTCTGTCTTAGCACCCTCTCCTTGGATTGAATGGAAGATGCGGAGGCCGGAGGCCATTGAACGGAAAACTCTGCAATGCCTTAAGCGTTCAAAGCAACTTCATTCTTTCATCCAGTTGAATAAGAAACAAACAAAGCAGGTTTAATACAGTGTTACTTTTTTTTAAAAAAAGAGCAAGCACGCAAACAAATCCAGAAGTGTCCGTCCTTCCTTCCTTCCTTCCTTCCTTCCTTCCTTCCTTCCTTCCTTCCTTCCTTCTCTTTCTTTCTCCTTCTCTTTTCTTTCTCC